TAGGTTGCTCAGACGGCGACTCAGGAACCAAAGCAATTTCAAAGAAGAGAGGCGAGTTCTGTCTTATAAACACAGAAGCCCTAAATACTACGTGTGGCTATAGCAGCCCCTCAGAGAAACTGAAATTTTTATGATCCTGGAAGATTAAATGAGAGGTACAGTAACTCTATCGGTTTAATTGCTGCTCTACTTTTGGATAAAACAAGAGGAAACCTTTTGCTACCTAAGCCAAGTATATCACCTTTTGTCTCTTGTTTGATAATTTCGTGGTGTGAGTTACCTGTTCCATAAAGACAGCCACATTTAAGAGCCAGAATTGTGTTGATTTTTAACCCCCAGCCCCCAGAAACTGGTGTATATAATTCGAAACATTGAAAACGTTAACATTTCTGAGATCCCTGATGTTTGTTCTTGCAAACAGCTCCCAAACATACCAGAATTTGTCAGAAATATAACAAACCTCTTTTTACTCTTCCACTGGTGCCATTTTAAAAATAGTAACACCTTTACTGCAGCATTTCTGAGCGAAAAGGGCCTCCCTTACCCTTCCACAGACAGATGCTCCTTCTTTGTCTCCAGTCCTCCGACTGCCGCTCTGTCGTGCTGCTGCAGTTATTATCAGCACAAAGACCATGGATGGCGCGCTGGAATGGGAGCTATAGCAGATGTGCGCGGAGCCACAGCGGAATGAGTTCAGTGTGGTTTTACTCTTGAATGAAAGCATGACCCCACAGTCACCAGTGCAGTGTCCTAGCGAATCTCGGGGAGCTTTTAAATGACTTAGAAGGACTAATGAAATCTGTCCCCGGTGACTACAGCTGGTAACAGGTCCACCGACTGCTCTCAAACCCCCTGCACATCTCCCTCAGCAAGGATGAGGCTCAGAGCAGGTCCCATCAGGGTTTTACACCCTCCACCAGGAAAATGACCCCCGAAGTTCTCGGCAGCGTCTCAGTCTCACATAGCTTTCATTTCAGGGGCTGGTGTCCTGAAAGCTTCTTGGAAACTGGTGCTGTCCCAGGGCTGACACGGAGATGATGTCAAACTGCACTCAGAAAAGACGCCTCAGCCCCGCATTATGTGCGTGACAACATTGTGTTGATTGAATAGGAGAAGGGACTGAGCCTTGGAAGGCTTTGCAGATGAGGGAGCTGGAGATGGCTGAAACTAATAATAATCTGCTATGGCTTCTCATCTATTTAAGCAGACTCTGAAGTCAACTCTTCAAAAGTTCAGTGCGCCTGCCTGTCTTTTGAACTCCTTCAAAGGGGCCCTTGTACTTTATCAGGGAAATGAAGAGGGAGATCCCTGTGTAATCTCCATCGTTACCTTTCATTTCTTGAGGTAATGATGCATAAAGTGTCCCCGGGAGGGACAGTACCTTTCCCCTCCCGACATAGCAGCTACGCCTTTGTGACAATAGATACTGCTACACAGCAACTTCCCTTCTTCCTCAAAATACTGTTACAGCACAGTTGAAATAATTTACATACTGTTAACATCATTTTTCCAAGATAAAGCCGTATGTCCATGGAAAAGTCAAAACGCCCAATTTAGGGATGACATTAGTGTTTCTAACGCCATCGACAGCACACACAACATGAGAAACTCCTCCAGGACCGATGTGGGAAACACGGCTGCTTTCCTTCAAGTTTTTTTCTCTTATTTTTTCAGTTGTTCGTTAGTCCTGTGAAGCCAATCAGCCTTCTTTCTCCCCCCCATATTTGGCTGGGTAGTAATTCCAACAAAATTCTAGCGGTTGTATATTGATCCTGATAAAAGTACAGAGCTTCAGAAAAGTACATGGGTTGGATGAAGACACGCAGAACAATTTGCCACCAAATACTGCACATGAACACTAGCAGAGCATGTAAAAGGCTACAGGGCTTCAGAAGAATAACTAACTGGTTGCAGATTTAATGCTGGCTGTCGTACCACTGCTTTGTGGGTTTTATTAACGACTTACTAGACAAGAGGAGCCCTTATTCTGCTCCTCCAAGATCTGAGAAGACACGAGATAGATAGATGTGGTTTACATTTTCTAAAATTAGAAGTCATGATGTGGAACACAGAAATAGACATGAATGGAAGAAAAAAGCCAAAACACGTAATTTGAAAAACGTGTTAGAGCAATAGCTGCACAATATCTCGCTTTCCAAAAGGTTCAGAGGAAGAGGGTTACGGGTAGAGAGCCCTACGGGGCTATTTGCTCCCCTGGAAAGCAGAGTGTTCATTTTTAGTGCTCACAAAAACTGAGAAAACAATTACTTTTTCATGTATGGAAACTTTGATTCTTCAGAAGTCACAGAGAAATGTTGATAAAGAAATGCTGGGATGCAAAGATACCACGAACACGTGGAGTGGTGATTGCAGACAGGGCGATACCATGTTTCCCAACAGGGAGCTCTCTGGCGGCCTCACACCGAGATGGTGGCACAGCGCTGGCCTGACAACCCGCTGGCTATGGAACAACCGTGGCTTCAGTCGAGTGGCACTGAGCTTTCTTGGATTTCCAGCTCAAAGAGTCATAGAATCATAGGTTGGAAATCACATCTAAGATCATCAAGTCCAACCATCAACCCAACCCAACCACCATGCCTACTAAACCACGTCCCAAAGTGCCAGGTCTGCACATTTTTTGGACACCTCCAGGGATGGGGACTCCACCACTGCACTGGGAAGCCTGTTCCAATGCCTGACCACTCTTTCAGTAAAGAAATTTTTCCTAATATCCAATTCGAACCTCCCCTGATGCAACTTGAGGGCATTGCCTCTCGTCCTGTTGCTAGTTACTTGGGAGAAGAGACCAACACCCGCCTCACTACAGC